ACTTTTTCTTTGATAATATTTTTATTACCCCTTTCTTTAAGAGCTACAGATTATCATAACGTCAAAAACACACTGCAACGACGTCAACCTACCTATCAATTGCAAAATCGGTTAAAAAATCAGTTATGTCAAATTGTAATTACATTTTTATACTTATGATTTCTTAATTTTGTTTAATTTTAATAATTAAGCGAAAAAAGTTGCATTAAAACAGTAAATACGCTTCATTTTACTATGAGCGAAATATTGCGCAATGGAAACTATAGTCGGCCCCCTTAATGGTTTATATAGGGGAATTCAAAAAACAAAACACAGGGATATTTTACTAAATAAGCAATTTTCAAACAAATCTTCAATTACATTATTCCTTTCGGACTACATTGATATTGTTTTTAATAAAATATCAAATATCCCTCACATTCGATGTGCCGCCTATTAATACAATACTGTCTGGTTTTTCGGTGGACTGCCTCTTAAATTCAAAATCTTTTTTCTATAGATTATCATCGTATCCACTGTGTTATCGCAAATCTTGCTTGAAAGTATACACTTCGAATCAACTGTAAAAAAAAAATTCTCTGGCTGGCCCCCCACTTTCAAAAACGATGCTACGCGCCTGCAAAGTGATGCGTTGAGTTACTTTAAAACAGCTATATAATTCTGACTGACTGTTATACAATTGCAAATTCCAACAAATATGATTGGTGCATTTTTAAAAGGTCCATCCATCCTCAAATATGTGAATGTTTCTTAGAGAGATAATGAAGTGGCGTATTAAATGATTGTGATTCTTGACCAGTAAACTGTAAAATGGTCTTGCAAATGAAATCTGTGTCAGGACTGACAGAAGTTGATCTAGTATTCATGTAACTTGGAGGGAGGTCGGGATATACATGTATTTCTGCAATCGAATATCATGGGCTCCTCCTCCCCCTAGTCAGTAGTCAAAAGGATAAAAATATTACAAAGAGTATTTAGAGCAGCTTTTAATGTCCTCGAACCATAGACACAAATGTACCACATTTGATGACCGTCATCTCGGTGTACTTTTTTCTTCATAGTAAAAAATAAAACACATAAAAAAATTATCTAGAAAGGAGAACGTGTTATACGTGTGAAATCTGCTCATTTTTCATTGGACTGTCTCTCGAATAATGTGCTTCTCATAAATTAGTAGAAAAAATATATTCTACCCCAGTCTACCCCAACATTTTACACACAATACAAAGAAGTTCCATAGTGTGCAGAAGGGGGAGGAATGCTGGCCATTCTCGGTCACTTCATTAACTTCAAATATTCGAACATGTGACCATACTTACCAATTTACAAGAAGTTCACATGTTCTTAAAGTGGGGGGAGGGGTTGAGTAGGTTATTTTTGTGTTGGTCTTCTAGTTACATGGAGACCGGTCCTTCGGATGAGACCTTATAAACCGCGATCCTGTGTCGCAGTAAGTGCTCGCACGAAAAAGATCCCTCACACAATTTTGATTACAATCATGCACATAGAAAAAAAAATCCGTGGGGTTGCATGGGGGCCCCTCTCCACATTTTTTTTCTCATTGTAAATTTTCACTGTTAACATTAGCATGCAATGATGCCCAAGGGGGGGGGGGGGGTGTAGAATAACTTGACAAGCAATTAGATAAATGATGTACGTGTGCATGTCAAATACGGTACTTTTCAGAACTTCCAAAATTTTGTAAAAGGATAAACAGGTATGTATTTATTTCTACATATGCCGTATTACATATATTTTTATAATTTTTTTGGAAGGGGGGGGGGGGGCATTAGTATTAACAAGTTATCGATCTTTTCAACACATAACAAAATAGGAGAAAGTCGGATATATACTCAATTAATGTAGCTTTGTTATATGAACTAGTGACATTTTTTCTTCCAAGAGGTTCTGGGTCTACAATAAATGAAACAAGAGGCCCAGGGGCCACATCGCTCACCTGAGCAATTGGCTAGGAAAAAGCACATACCAGATCATATCAGAACTGAAAGTTTACTGAGAGGGGGGGAGGGGGCTTGAATTTAAACCCTCCAGGGGTCATGATATGTACAAACTTGAATCTAATCTACACAACCTAAGGATAATTCCCTATAAATATCATAAGTTTTCTTTATATATTCTTATGTAAACTTTTTATAGGTTATTTGCCCAACCCTACCCCTGGGGGTCTTGTTGTGAATAAACTTGAATCTACACTATCCCGGGATGATTCCACAGGAGTTTCATCTTTCCTGTCTCAATGGTTCTTGAGAAGATTTTTCCTATATATTCCTATGTAAAACTTTGATCGTCCATTTTGGCCCCACCCTACCCCTGGGGGTAATGATTTGAACAAACTTGAATCTACACTACCTGAGGATGATTCCACATAAGTTTCATCTTTCCTGGCCCAGTGGTTCTTGAGAAGAAGATGTTTAAAGATTTTTCCGTTACATTCCTATGTTAAACTTTGATCAGCCATTTTGGCCTTACCCTACCCCCCGGGGTCATGATTTGGGCGAACTTGAATCTTCATTACCTGAGGATGATTCCACAAAAGTTTTATCATTCCTGGCCCAGTGTTTCTTGAGAAGAAGATTTTAAAAGATTTTTCCACTATATTCCTATGTAAAACTTTGATCGGCCATTATGGCCCCACCCTACCCCCGGGGGTCATGATATGAACTACCTTGAATCTACACTACCTGAGGATGATTCCACATAAGTTTCATCTTTCCTGGCCCAGTGGTTCTTGAGAAGAAGATTTTTAAAGATTTTTCCTATATATTTCTATGTAAAACTTTGATCGGCCATTTTGGCCCTGCCCTACCCCCAGGGGTCATGATATGAACAAACTTGAATCTACACTACCTGTGAATGCTTCCATATAAATATGATCAATTGTGGCTTTGCTTTTCTCGAGAAGATTTTTAAAGATTTTTCCTATATATTTCTATGTAAAACTTTGGTCGGCCATTTTGGCCCCGCCCAACCCCCGGGGGTCATGATATGAACAAACTTGAATCTACACTACCTGAGGATGCTTTCATATAAATATGATCAACTATGGCTTTGTTATTCTTGAGAAGAAGATTTTAAAAGATTTTTCCTTTATATTTCTATGTAAAACTTTGGTCAGCCATTTTGGCCCCGCCCAACCCCGGGGGGTCATGATATGAACAAACTTGAATCTACACTACCTGAGGATGCTTTCATATAAATATGTTCAACTATGGCTTTGTTATTCTTGAGAAGAAGATTTTAAAAGATTTTTCCTATATATAATTATGTAAAACTTTGGTCGGCCATTTTGGCCCCGCCCATCCCCCGGGGGTCATGATATGAACAAACTTGAATCTACACTACCTGAGGATGTTTTCCCAAAAGTTTCATCTTTCCTGGCACAGTGGTTCTTGAGAAGAAGATTTTTAAAAGATACCACCATTTTTTCATTAATTCCCAATTATCTCCCCTTGAATGAGGGCGTGGCCCTTCATTTGGACAAACTTGAATCCCCTTCACCCAAGGATGCTTTGTGGCAAGTTTGGTTGAAATTGGCCCAGTGGTTCTTGAGAAGAAGTCGAAAATGTGAAAAGTTTACAACAACGACGACGACGACAACGACGACGACAACGACAACGACAGACAACGGACAAATTGTGATCAGAAAAGCTCACTTGAGCCTTTGGCTCAGGTGAGCTAAAAAAATACTCCGAATCTAGATATTGCATTGGTGTGGTTTAACATTTCTGTCATTCAGTTTTGATTGGTACGTGTTAATACCTGTGCAGTTTTCTTGACATGTGTTTAAGTCCAATCACGTTTTGTCAGGACTTCGGATTATAAAGCATTTCAGACTACTCTTCCATCACAATCATTCCCTCCAATTAAAATTAAATTTCTCAATTTAATTTTTTTTCCTTTTTAAAAATATTTCTTTAATATCATCATTGCATGAAAATATTATTTGCCGTTGTTGAATAAGAAAGAGTCATTGTAAATCTGAATTTTAAACAACAGTTGTATATTTTATTTAGTTTAACTGAAAACTTTGGTGTACATGGAAAAGAATAATTGTCGAAATTTTGACAAATTTTATGTATTTAGTCAGAACACTATAAGGTCCTTTTAATGAGTAATGTACATGACAACAATCAGAGTCAGATATGTTATGAAAATGACAACAGTCATGAAAGAAAATACGCAGAAAGCACAATGGAGAAAATTCGATCTGAAATGTAAAACAAAGAATTTATTTGGAACGAAGTCAGTGCATGACAGATTTTGATTGCAGATTTTGCTGCAAAACAATGACGTTGCTTTTTTTCTATTGTGACGTAAAATTCCTTCAGATTACATAAGGGGGGTTTTGCTTGGAACGGCTCATTTGACAAAGAAAAATTGCACAAATTTTAATTTTGAAATGATCATTTTTGTATATCTTCATATGGAGCTCCTCTTCTAAGAAGATCCATATAGTCTAAATATGGCCACAACCCCCTAGCCCTCTTAAAATTTACACTACCCCAGCATGCTTTCACATAAATTTCAGTTTTTCTGGCTGAGGAGTTCCTGAGAAGAAGATTTTAAAAGTTTTTTCCTATATATTTCTATGTAAAAATTTGATTCCCTTTTGTGGCCCCGCCCAATCCCCAGGGATCATAATTTGAACAATTTAGAATCTACACTACATGTACCGTAGGGTGCTTCCACATAAGTTTCAGCTTTTCTGGGCTAGTGGTTCTTGAGAAGAAGATTTTTAAAGTTTAAACCTAGCCCTTTTGTCTCAGAATGTTAAATTGTTTGGCTAACACATTGCGATTTGGCTAACCTTTGGCTAACACTTTAGCTTTTATATTTTAAAACACAATATTGAGACCTGCAACGAGGTTATCCTACAAGGCTGTAATATTAATCAAAATGTAACTTTTATTTCTTGAATAAATTTTTGAAAAATATATGAATAGTTAATGTTACCTTAGGACTCTTAGGACTATACTTGCCTGCAGTACTTATCATCTATCAAGTTGTAACAATCACCGCTCTGACACTTTGTAGAGGTGGTGTGGCAGTAGTTAATCTGTTGGTCACAGTTCTTTCCCTCCCAGCCCTCAGTACAGTTACAACGATAGTCATTGAGCATATCAGTACAGTTGGCTCCATGTTTGCATGGAAACCTGGCACACTCATCTACCTCTTCCTTTTTTCACATTAAAAGAATAACATATGAGCATTTAAAAAAAATAAATACCCTATTAACCGCCTCTGGTGCTTAGAAAATTGCAAAAAGGGCGGTTATTTTGGTATTCCCTTTATAATAATTAATGTCATATTTAAACTTCAAAAATTCTTTTGAAAAAAAATAAATACAAGGAACCACTAAAATAATGTCTAACTTTACTTTAAGTGAAGATAATCAACCCAAATTATTCTAAATTAATCATTTTCAACCGAGAAATTGGATAAAAGACAACTTTCATATTCACTTTCTTCAAATTTTTCACAAGATGAAACACACCTTTTAAGCCTGATTTAATGGTGGCTTATTGGTCCTTAATGATGGTTTAATGGTTGTCTTTAAGTCAGCATTAAGCAGCATTAAGTAACATTTACACCACCATTAAGTTACCATTAAGCCATCTCAAAGTCCTTAATGGGTGCTTAAATGTAGCTTATTGGTAGCTTAATGGTGGCTTACAGGTCCTTAATGGTAGCTTTTAGACCACCATTAAGTCACCATTAAGCTACCATTAAGGTAGACTTACAGGTGCTTAATGTCCAAACTCCATTAAGCTACCATTAAGCCACCATTACGCAGTCGATAATACTGTTTTTATGGGTGAAAAATTATTTTTATAGTGATTTACTATCACAAATTATAAATGTCGAGTTCACACATATCTTAATTTGGTAAAAATAAGGAAAAAGAACGAAATTCAAAATTCAAAAAAAAAAAAACAAAAAAAAAAAAAAATTCATCCCAATCGGAGCGCGAACCCAGGACGTTTAAAGTAGATGGTAAACGCCTTAACCGCTAGGCTATTGCCGCTTATGATTCTAAGTGAAAATATAAAACCTTTATTTTTTCACAAAATTTGTTTGGACTTAAATTGTAAAAGTATTAATTTTGTTGAACGTTTCTAAAGTCTTGAATTGATTTATTAATCAAAATATAAATAATTATATTTATGGATCTTTTTAAAAGACTTTTATATCACATTAATATTTCTAAACCGTTGAGTTCGGCTTTGATTGATGTAATGAATTCGTCACTCTGTTATTCAAAGATTTATAAATCATGGTTGAAATTAAATTAATTATAGATAAAACACAAAAATCTATCATAGAAAAAGAAAGATAAAAAAAACACACAAGAGGCCCATTGGCCACATTGCTCACCTGAGCATTGTGGCTAGGAAAAAGTAGAAATTGGTTTATTATCAACAAGAGGCCCATGAGCCACATTGGCTAGGAAATAAATCAGAAATCATTACAGTATTGGAAAGTTTAAATAGGTGTGTGTTGGGGGGGGGGGGGGGAGGGTGTCTGGAATTTTAAACTACCAGCCCTCGTTTAAACCAGTATGACTTTTTACTACCTGAGAAAGCCTTCATATCAATATGATTAAACATGGCTTTTCTGTTCTTGGGAAAAAACTTTTCCTTGATATTTCTAGGCAAAACACTGATCCCTAATTGTGTACCACTGTACCCAACCCCTACTTCTCGTTCATGACGTGAACAAACTTGAATCAACACTATGTGAGGATGCTTACATAAAGATGTGACCAATCATGGCTTTGTGGTTCTTAAAAAGAAGAGTTTTAAAAAATTCCAATTTATTCATTCCTATGGAAAACTTTAATTGTCCACTGTGGCCCAGCCCTACCCCTGGGTGTGATGAGTTTAACAAACTTGAATCAACTGGTACTCTACGAGAGGATGTTTTCACATAAGTTTCATCTTACCTGGCCCAGCTGAGTGGTTCTTGAGAAAAATTTCAAAGAATTTTTCTATATATTCCTATTTAAATATTCGATCGTCAGTTGTGGCCCGGCCCTACCCCAGGGATTCATGATTTGAACAAACTTGAATCTACACTACTTGAGGATGCTTCCATATAAGTTTCATTTTTACTGGCCCAGTGGTTCTGGAGAAGAAGATTTTTTTTAAAGAAATTTCTATTTATTCCTATGTTAAAATTTGATCAGCCATTGTGGCCCCGCCCCACCCCCGGGGGTCATGATTTGAAAAAAAAATTGAATCTACACTACCTGAGGATGCTTCAACATCAGTCTCATCTTTCCTGCCCAGGTGGTTCTAGAGAAGAAGATTTTTTAAAGTTTTTTCCTAAGTATTCCTATGTAAAACTTCGATCAGCCATTGTGGCCCCACCCTACCCCAGGGGGTCATGATCTGAACAAACATCAATCTACACTATCTGAGAATACTTCCACATGAGTTTCATATTTCCTGGTCTAGTGGTTCTGGAGAAAAAGATTTTAAAAAATTTTCCTTTATATTCCTATGTAAACCTATGATCGGCCATTGTGGCCCCGTCCTAACCCCGGGGGTCATGATTTGAACAAAATTGAATCTACACTACATGAGGATGCTTCCACATGAGTTTTATCTTTCCTGGGCCAGTGGTTCTGGAGAAGATATTTTAATTTTTTTTATATATTTTTTTTATTTTTTATATATACCTATGTTAAAATTTGATCAGCCATTGTGGCCCCACCCTCCCCCACGGGTCATGATTTGAACAAACTTGAATCTACACTACCTGAGGATGCTTCCACATGAGTTTCGTCTTTCCTGAACCGGTGGTTCTGGAGAAGAAGATTTTAAAAGATTTTTCCTTTATATTCCTATGTTAACCTGTGATCGGCCATTGTGGCCCCGCCCTACCCCGGGGGTCCTGACTTGAACAGAATTGAATCTACACTACCTGAGGATACTTCCACATGAGTTTCATCTTTCCTGACCCAATGGTTCTGGAGAAGAAGATTTTTAAAAGATGACATTAATTTTTCATTAATTCATAATTATCTCCCTTTGGAAGAGGGCTTGGCCCTTCATTTGAACAAACTTGAATCCCCTTCACCCAAGGATACTTTGTAGCAAGTTTGGTTGAAATTGACCCAGTGGTTCTTGAGAAGGAGATGAAAATATGAAAAGTTTACGACGACGACGACGACGACATCAACGACGACGAACAACGTACATATTTTGATAAGAAAAGCTCACTTGAGCCTTCGGCTCAGGTGAGCTAATAAGTTTAAATCCAAAAGTGTTCCCAAGACAAATCATGGCTTTGCTATTCTTGAGAAGATGATTTTTAAAGAATTTTTATATATGTCTATGTAAAACTATGATCGTCCACTGTGGCCCCGCCCTACCCCCCGGGGTGATGATTTGAGCAAAATTGAATCTACACTACCTGAGGATGCTTCCATATAAATATGATCAATTATGGCTGTGCAATTCTTGAGATGAAGATTTTTTTTAAGAATGTTCATATATATTTCTATGTAAAACTTTGATCATTCATTTTGCCCCCCCCCCCTACCCCTGGGGGTCATGATTTGAACAAAAACTTGAATTTACAATACCTGAAGATGTTTCCATAATTCATAGGAATATGATTAATTACGGCTGTGCTATTCTTGAGCAGAAAATTTTTAAAGAATTTTCCTATATATGTATATGTAAAACTTTTGATCGGCCATTTTGGCCCCGCCCTACCCCCGGGGGTCATAACTTGAACAAACTTGAATCTACACTGCCTGAAGAGGCTTCCATTTAAACATGATCAATTATGGCTTTGCTATTCTTGAGAAGAAGATTTTTAATGAATTTTCCTATGTATTTCTATGTAAAACTTTGACCGGCCATTTTGGCCCCGCCCTACCCCCGGGGGTCATCATTTGAACAAATTTAAATCTACACTACCTGAGGATGTTTACCCATAAGTTTCATTTTTCCTGGTTCTTGAGAAGGAGACTTTTAAAACATGCCAACAAATTTTTCAGTAATTCCCAATTATCTCCCCTTGAATCCTAGGTGTGGCCCTTCATTTGAACAAACTTGAATCCCCATGGGCCACATCGCTCACCCGAGCACTCTGGCTAGGAAAAAGTAGAATTGGTTTATTATTGAAAGGTTTAAATTCAAAAGTAGTCCCATGACCAATCATAGCTTCGCTAAAAGAAGATTTTTAAAGAATTTTCCTAAATATATCTATGTAAAAATTTGATTGGACATTGTGGCCCCGCACTACCCCCAGGGGTCATGATTTGAACAAACTTGAATCTACACTACCTGAGGATGATTCCATATAAATATGATCAATTATGGCTTTGCTATTCTTGAGAAGATTTTTAAAGAATTTTCCTTTATATTTCTATGTAAAACTTTGGTCGGCCACTGTGGCCTCGCCCTACCCCCGGGGGTCATGATTTGAACAAACTTGAGTCTACACTACCTGAGGATGCTTCCATATAAATATGATCAATTATAGGTTTGCCATTCTTGAGAAGAAGATTTTTAAAGAATTTTCCTGTATATTTCTATGTAAAACTTTGGTCGGCCATTGTGGCCCCGCCCTACCCCCGGGGGTCATGATTTGAACAAACTTGAATCTACACTACCTGAGGATGCTTCCATATAAATATGATCAATTATGGCTTTGCTTAGTTCTTGAGAAGATGATTTTTAAAGAATTTTCCTGTTTATTTCTATGTAAAACTTCGGTGGGCCATTGTGGCCACACCCTACCCCCGGGGGTCAAGATTTGAACAAACTTGATTCTACACTACCTGAGGATGCTTTCATATAAATACGATCAATTATGGCTTTGCCATTCTTGAGAAGAAGATTTTTAAAGAATTTTCCTGTTTATTTCTATGTAAAACTTTGGTCGGCCATTGCGGCCCCGCCCTACCCCCGGGGGTCATGATTTGAACAAACTTGAGTCTACACTACCTAAGGATGTTTCCCTATAAATTTCATCTTTCCTGTACAGTGGTTCTTGAGAAGAAGATTTTTAAAACATGCCACCAAATTTTCATTATTTCTGAATTATATCCCCTTGAATGAGGGCGTGGTCCTTCATTTGAACAAACTTGAATCCCCTTCACCCAAGGATACTTTGTGGCAAGTATGGTTGAAATTGGCCCAGCGGTTCTTGAGAAGAAGATGAAAATGTGAAAAGTTTACGGACAGACAGACAGACGGACAGCTAGACGGACAGACGGACGCCGGACAAAATGTGATCAGAAAAGCTCACTTGAGCCTTCGGCTCAGGTGAGCTAAAAAGACAAGAGATTTTTTTTTTTTTCATGAGAACATGACTTTATATTTTTGTGAATTCTGTGGCGGAATGTTGCTTTTAACACATGAAATAAAAATACCATCTTTTTTTTCAAAGTAACATATATTTTGTGTTCATGGATAATGATTACTTTAAGAACAAGTGTTTAAACAAATTGATTTTCGGAAGTGAAAAAATTAAATTATTTCACAGGGGCTTGCTCCCGGCTTGTAATAATTATTTATTATTAAAAAAATCATATTACACTAATAATGAAACAACGCATGTAATAATTATTTATTTAAAAAAAATAATATATAGTAATGATAAAACATGTCTTGTTTTATTATTACTGTAAATGATTTTTTAAAATAAATAAGTATTAGACACCGGGAGCAAACCCCTGTGGCTATTAGCTAACTTTGTTCTCAGTGCCCTAGTTTAAGCATATTGACAAGAATGCTATATAGAAATGACGATCGAGACAAAATTATGAATTGAAATAGATTTTGCGTAAATGATATTGAAATAACTTAACAAGTTAGTTGAAAGATTTGATATAAGATACGTTAAATTGGTTTAATGAGGTTTGACCATTAAGTCACCATTAAGCTCAGCTTAAAGGTGGCTTAATGGTAGCTTAATGGAGTTGGACATTAAGCCTGTAAGTTGCAGCTTAATGGTGGCTTAATGGTGGCTTAAAGGAATTAACTTCTTTAAGCCACCATTAAGTCACCATTAAGCTACCATTAAGCGATTGCTTCAAGGTGGTCTTTCGCCCAGTGTTTGATACGATTCTCGATGATTTAAATCACTGTACAGACAGTTTTTGACATGATAAAGACCTAAGGGGGCGCTTATAGGGGCAGGGGCAGCTTATAGGGATTAAAAGGTAGCTACAGCATATTGCCAATAATTATTACTGAATAATTTTCTGTTAACAAACCAGGTAATCTAAATTTTACAAATAATCACGATATTTATATCAAAAGTTTTGTTTCCCCATACTTTCTCAGTATAAGTGTACTGAAACAACAAAGAAACAACAAAGTTGTAAACCTTGGTTTGGCCATCTTACTTAGCTGCAATAATGTAGCCTTCCCCGATTTTTTTTTATCTGATATTTTCTGGAGATGGCTACAATTCCACAGCATCTCCGTAATGGTGCAAAAATATTTTTTAAATATGGACGACTGCAGGCAGAAAAAATTGTTTTTACATTCAACTTACTTCTATTAAGACCAAATTTTTATTCACTGTCGACAAAATAGTCCGTTTTACGCGAAAACCATGTAAAAAGATCTGTGTATTTATCTGTCGCTTCTACTCAACAGCCATGACAGTTCACACGTGACGTAATGAGACTTGCACTTGAAATTTAGAATAACTCAATAAAGCAAATGTCGATGTTAATAAATAATAGTGATGAATAGTAACACTAAACATCGATAAATAAAATCATTCCATGTATCATTTTTCTGTAAACAGCTATATTTAGGCTTAAAATAAGGTAATTCCAAAGACATCCGCTCCCCATAGATCCTTAATCTCATTGGCTGTTCCAAAATAAAATGTCAAGGTCAGTAAACATGGCGGATAAATTTAAGTTGTGATGTTGACATACACGAAAAATACGGATATATGGATTGTTCTGTATATTTTTGGATCGATTTATATCTGGGATAACTACAGTCCAGGTAAAACATATTAACAAAATAGCCGTTTACTGACAATTTGAGCCGAAATCCATGCGGGAGTGAATCGCTACCACTTTGCACCATTACGGAGATCCTAAAGAGTTGTAGCCCTCTCTCCACCCCACAGAATAAAAACAAGAGGCCCCTGGGCTACATCGCTCACCTGAGTAACTTGGGTGATGTAGTTCTATACCAGATTTCCCCTCTTCCTATACCTATCAAACCTCCTACCCCCTTCCCTTTCATGATTTTAATACTTTAGAATCTACACTATCCCAGGATGCTTCCACATAAGTTTCAGCTTTCCTGGCCCAGTGGTTTTTGAGAAAAATATTCTTAAAGATTTTACCTAAATATATCTATGTAAAACTTGGATTCCCTATTCTGGCCCCGCCCTACCCTGGGGGTCATGATTTTAACAACTTAATATCTACACTACCCAAGGATGCTTCCACATAAGTTTCAGCTTTCCTGACCCAGTGGGTCTTGAGAAGAAGATTTTTAAAGATTTGTTCAATATATTTCTATGTAAACATTGGATTCCCTATTGTGGCCCTGCCCTACCCCCGGGGGTCATGATTTTAACAATTTAATATCTACACTACCCAAGGATGCTTCCACATAAGTTTCAGCTTTCCTGGCCCAATAGTTCTTAAGAAGAAGATTTTTAAAGATTTGTTCAATATATTTTTATGTAAAACTTGGATTCCCTATTGTGGCCCCACACTACCCCTGGGGTCATGATTTTAACAATTTAATATCTATAATACCCAAGGATGCTTCCACATAAGTTTCAGCTTTCCTGGCCCAATGGTTCTTGAGAAGTTTTTTAGTGACCCCACCCATATTTTGTCTTTTCTTGATTAATTCCCCTTGTAAGGGGACTTGGCCCTTCATTTTTACAATTTAATTTCCCCTTCATCCAAGGATGCGTTGTACTAAGTTTGGTTCCTGAGAAGTAGTGAAAAATGTGAAAAGTTTACAGACGAACGGACGGACAGACGGATGGACGACGGACAAAATATGATCAGAAAAGCTCACTGGAGGCTTCGGCTCAGGTGAGCTAAAAAAGGACAGGGCTACATTATTGCAGCTACATCTTACTATGATGCAACTATTTATGTCAAAATTAAGGCTTTAGCATATGCATCCCTGAAAAGCACATGTGGGCAGAGATAATTTCTGGAATTTTGTTAAAACTTGCTTCTTAATCTATATACTAGGTATTTAGTATTAATGTAAATTTCAGATAATGTTATTCTTACTGTACAGTTTTTGCCTGTGTATCCTGGCTTACACAGACATTCACATTCATTGATTTTATCTACTTTGTCCCGTGTAGTTGCATTGTTACAGGATCCTGGACAGTCATTCTTGTTCACATCACAGTTTTTCCCTTAAAGTTAGAAACGCTTTAATGAGGTGAAATAAAGAAATTTTTTTCAAGATTCCCTAAAACATGTAAAAGGATAAGTAAAGTAGTCATCCATAGCAAACAAGTGAGTCATTGGCCACTATAACCCCGAGTTATCTTGGCCCTCTTGTTCTTCAGCCAATGTTTTAAATATTTTTTTACTCTTCACAAAAATATAAGTATTGATGTGGCCTTGCTGTTACAGAAAAGAAGATTTTTAAAACTTTTTTACCAGCATACTTGTGTTATATTTAAAATTTGATCTGACCATCATGTGATGTTAGCTAGCCAAAACTAATAAACCCAAAGTCCATTATCAAAAGAAATCAGTAGGCATGTTCACGAAACTTTCCTAAGATTTGTCTTAGAACTATTCCTAAGATATGACTTAGGGAGAAAGTTAGGAACATCCTACGATCATCTTACAACATATCATAAGATGTAGCTCAATGGTAACTTAGGAACATCTTAAGTTAGGACATCCCAACTTTAAAAAACACTTGTTTCTTACAACATTTATTAAATATAAAATTTTGAAGAATTTATAGCTTACCATATTGTATAACATTAAAAAACAAAATCCATTTACATGTACATGACCTCTATATTTTACTATTTGCATTTTTGAAAATTATGAAATATTTAATACCGCTTGTGAATGGTATTGAAACAAATAATATATAACTTAGATTTATAGTTTAAAAAATCTTAATCTCTCAGTGATCTACCTTGATGATGATTTTGATATCACCTATTATAAAAGTCTGTGACATTTTTTGATAAATAAGCTGATTCAGAATTAAAAATAATAAAAATGTATGCTGTAGGACACGTAAAATGTATTCAAAGAGAGAAATAACTATTTTGGAACTCCAAGTAGTTTAAATAATGACAACTGTTCTAAATATTGCATTTACTCCCAGTAAATTCAAAATTTAGAACATGTCAATAGATTCATTGTCTTGTCATAGCACGAAGTACCAGAAGATCGGAGGAAAGTGTTCAGGGTGGGGGGTTGGGGGGTGGCTCCTTGTTATTTTCCAAAGATAGTTTATTCACTTGCCCTACCATGAACAAATACTGTATTTATAAATATTTCAAAACAAGAGGCCCACAGGCCTTATAGGTCACCTGAGTATTGTGTAACAACTTTCAAAGAATTAAATTTTGGTTCGTGTTTTAAACCAGAGACCATGAAATTCATAATTCACAATTTTCAAAGAGGCAACATTGCTTATCATAATTATAAACTTAGCATGCTTACTCTATTTACTTAATACCCAGAGGTAGACCCTTGTAACAAAGAGAAAATGCACTTCCACTTTATAACCAGTTGTGCACCTCACCCCAAAGGAACTACTGACCCTGGGGCAACGTATTTCAAAATTTTGTAAATTTTATCATAAAATGGTTGATTAATACCAAAGGGCAGATTTCAAAGCATAAATTTATTTTCAAACTATGTAACCCCCCCCCCACCCACTGACCCTGGGGTTCATAAAAAATAACTATTTTGCTAGATGCACCTTTCTTCATCAAAAATATACATACTTGGATCATTGGCATAAAACCCAGGAGCAAAGGAAAAGATTTTCAAAGAATTAATGCATTTTCACTATATAATCAATAGAGCCCCGCCCTAACACCAGAACCCTTGACCCTGGGGCCATAAAATTCACAATTTTGAAGAGGCACTCTTGCTCAACATAACTAAATACTTAATTAAATTATCTAATTCCCAGAAGCAGAGAAGAAGATTTTCAAAGAATTAATGCATTTTCTCTATATGATCAATAGAGTCCCGCCCTAACACCAGAACCCCTGACCCTGGGGCCATAAAATTCAGAATTTTGGAAGAGGCAATCTTGCTCATCATAACTATGTACTTAGTAAGTTTATGTAATACCCAGGAGCAGAGAAGATTTTCAAAGAAATAATGCATTTTCACTATATAATCTATATAGCCCCACCCTAGCACTAGAACCCCTGACCCTGGGGTCATGAATTTCACAATTTTGGTAGAGGACTCAATGCTCATTACATTCATGCCAACAGTTTGCCTGATTGATATCCAGGAGTAAAGAAGAAGATTTTTAAAGATTGCAATAATTTTAGTGGTTTTGGCCCCACCCCTCAGGCCCGGGGGGGGGGGGGGGCGGGACCATAAAATTCACAATTTATGTTCCCCTTTACCCATAGATGCTGTATACCAAATTTGGTTGAAAATGATTTCAATGGTTTCAGAGGAGAAACTGAAAATGTTCAAATGTTAACACACGACGCACGACAGACGACAACGGACGAAGACGGATAGCAATAGGTCACAAAAAGAGGAACACAAATACTAAGTAGATCATGCAAGTCCCTATGCCCAGTTTTAAATATATGGCTTACATATTGATTTTATTTTTGAAAAGTCACTTGCCCACGGACAAGAAGTTGATAAAATTTCACTTGCCCATCCCTAAAATTCAATAGCCCCGGGCGTCGGCAATGGGATTTGTCATCCCCTGTTGGAGGTCATGATTTGAACAAACTTGAATTTACACTACCCGAGGATCCTTCCACACGAGTTTCATCTTTCCTGGCCGAGTGGTTCTTGTGAAGAAGATTTTTGAAAGATGCCATTAAATTTTTTACTAAATCATAATAATCTTCCCTTGGAAGAGGGCCTGGCTCTTCCTTTGAACTAACTTGAATCCCCTTTACCCAAGGATACTTTGTGGCAAGTTTGATTGAAATTGACCCAGTGGTTCTTTAGAAGAAGATGAAAATGTGAAAAGTTCACAGCGCCAATGACAATGATGCCTTCAGCTCAATTGAGCTAAAAATTAATCATAATATTTTCGTTCATTAAGGTATCAAAGAAAACTTGGATGGAAAAATTTTTCATCAATAAGCTACCTTCAAATCCTGATGCACATACACAACTGTAGTCTTGGTGTGCATCAATACAGGTTGATCCATTTTTGCACGGCATTTCCTTACATTCATCCACACTGTGCTGACAACTAGAACCTTCAAAGCCAAGATCACAAGAACACTTTCCAATCAGTGGGTTACAGGTTCCATTGATACATACAGTGTTGTTACATAGATCCATCTTTTCACATTGACCATTTCCTGTGTTATAAAAAGAAAAGAATAGAGTTTACATGTTTATACATGTATGAAATTCAGTATTGTATTACATTTGCCAGTTAAGTGGAATATATGAAATACTGCTATAACAAAAGGCTCATTGACCCCAACACTCACCTGAGTCACTTGGGCCCTTTTGTTCTCCAACAGATTTCCCTCATATATACATGTGTATTATTTTGTAGTAATGCCCAATTTACTATAAGGGTCCATGATTTGAATAAAATTTGAATTTACACTACTAGAGAATGCTTCATAATAAACTGGACTAATCATGGCTTTGCTGTTCTTCAGAGAAGTGTTTTTAAAATCTCTCCCCATAAAATCCTATCTAAACTTATGAAAACCTATCGTGGCCCAACTCTATCCCTGGGTTCAGGATATCAACACACTTCAATGTATACAACCGGAGGATACTTCGACGCTTGAAATATGATTCATGATTCTTGACTGATCTTGGGGAGTTTAAAACTTTTTTTTCCCTTTAAATTCCTATGTTAACTTGCCTATTGATTGCTTATTGAAGCTCCACCCTACCATGATAGGGGGCATGATTTAAACAAACTTGAATCAATCTACAATATCAAATGTTGCTTCCATAGTAATATGACTAATTGATATCATGGCTTTGCTGTGCCAGGATTCCCTAGTGTAGCCCCAGCTACATGTATATATAGACAGTCACAATGGTATAAAAATTCACAATTTGCACTGCTTCAGAAAGCTTTGCACCAACTTTGGTTAAAAATGTCCCTGTGATTAACAAAAGGCACAGAGGCCACATCGCTCACTTGAGCAACTGGTTAGATAAAAGCAAAAATCAGTTCAATATTGAAAAGTTTAAATATAAAAGTGGGTTCAGGGGAGAGGGGGGGGGGTATTTGAACAAACTTAATCTATACTTCCTACGGATGCTTTTAAATTATTATGATAACATAACAGCTTTGCTGTTTATAAGATGAAAATTTTGATTGATATAACCTTTATATTCCTTTGTATAACTATGACCCACTTGGGATGTAGGGGGCTCTGGATAGAAGTGGAACCTTTGTTACCTGTCAACTGCACCTTATACTTGTCACTGGTCTTCATCCATCTCCTAATGGCTCCTAGCAACACATCCTGGTAAACGGCCTCAGTCGGCGGGCGAAACCATGTGAGGGGGTGATGTTAACATGGCATCAATGGGCGTACAAACTTCTGTTAAGAAGTCACCGGCCAGAGCAGAAGGGCTCACGTGTTCATCATCAAAGTGTGCCACTATGAAAACGTGGAACTCGGTTGTGGTCAGGAAACTCGGAGTGAAGTCCCGTAGGCGGTCTCTTGTGCACATGTGGCAAGACTCTGGCAACTTCTGCATCTGGATTCATCTCTAGCAGTCTTGACAATGTCTTGCCACTAGGTCAAGGTGAATTCAGACGAGAGAGTTAGGTCGGTGGTGTGTGACCCTACTTCACAAAGTTTCAGCGCAAGTCATATCTCATCTCTTAACACCCCCAAAGTCCTGTGACGATTGGCAAATGACGAAAACAGCAGGTGTGGATACACTGGAAGCTCCAGTTGTGACCCTACACACAGGCGGCTCAAGACACTGGTCATCAGCTCTTTGATCGAACAGCAGAGGCTCCCGGCAACATCTTGAGTGACTGAGCAGCCCTCTCATGGAATGCACTGCTCACCCTATAACCTGGGGAAGGGGCTAGAAAAGGTGCCCTAAACATTGCCTGTCTCAACCTACCTGGGCCAGTTTACCATGACTGGCAGGGATCCCCATCATGCAGTCGAAATGCAAGAAATGCAAAAAAGACCAAACATACATCGATTACAGTTAGAGCATGGAATGTTGGAACATTGTTGGGCAAATGTGACTCAAACAGACCAGAAAGAAGAACAGCTCTCATGGCAAAGGAGTATCCAGATACAATGTTGACATTGCCGCTCTGAGTGAAACTAGTCTTGCTGAAGAAGGGCAACTGAAGGAACCAAAAGCCGGATACACATTCTTTTGGAGTGGGCATGGGAAAGATGAACGCCGTGAGGCAGTAGTTGGCTCTGCCATTAAAAACGATCTAATAGGCAAGCTGACTAGTCTATCCAAAGGGAAAAATGATCGCCTAATGACGCTTGCTCTGAAATTGAAGGGCAAGAGAAGTGCCGTAATTGTCAGTTGCTATGCATCAACCATGACAAATCCTGATGATATCAAGGACAAGTTCTACGAGGACCTTGACAGTATCATATCCTCCATACCTTGACAAGACAACTTGTGGTTCTTTGGGACTTCAATGCCAGGGTTGGATCAGATGCAAAATCCTGGGGTGGCATCATTGGAAAGCATGGCGTAGGTTCATGCAACAGCGATGGCCTGCTCCTCCTAAGATTGTGTGCCCAGCACAGCTCAGTATCAAAAATACACTCTACAAAATGCCAACAAGAAACAAACCACCTGGATGCATCCTCCTTAAAACACTGGCACCTCATTGACTATGCAATTGTTAAAACAAGAGACAAAAATGATGTGCGAGTAACAAAGTTGATGTACACACTAGGTCCTAAAATGCATGAACATCAGGAATGGTTTGATGAAAACAAGGCCATTGTCAAACTGCTTGAAGAAAAGAACAGCCTCTTAAAGCAAAATCTTTCGAACAAGACCCCAGCCAATACAGCTGCTCTTCACCAAATGAAGCGGAGTGTGCAGACCGAACTAAGGCATATGAAAGACAGATGGCTTAGCCAAAAGGCCGAAGAAATTCAAGTTTATGCTGACACCCACAACTCCAAATGCTTTTATCAAGCCATAAGAATGCTGTACGGATCTCAGTCTGCTGGTACATCACCACTGCTCTCAGCTAATGGAACCAAACTCAACACTGACAAGCCTGGTATTCTTGACAGGTGGGCAGAGCATTTCAATTCGGTCCTAAACAGGCCATCTTCAATCAACAACGATGCCGTAAATCGTCTACCTCAGATCCCAATCGACACTGCACTTGACGACCCTCCATCTGCCACAGAGACTATGGAAGCAATAAAGCAAATCTCAACAGGCAAAGCTCCCGGAGCCAACGCTATTTCAGCCAAGATTTATAAATCTGCCGGACCACTGTTGATTCAGAAATTGACCAAACTTTTCCAGTCAATGTGGGAAAATGAAACCCCACCACAGGACCTAAAAGATACCTTGATAGTCCACCTCTACAAGCGTAAAGGCAACATAAATTCCTCTGATAACCACAGAGGAATCTCACTCCTATTCATTGCTGAAAAGATTCTTGCACGTATAATTCTGAACAGACTTCTTCGCCATCTTAAAAATGGGCTACTACCGGAGAGTCAGTGTGGGTTCCGTTCAGGCCGGGAACAGTTGACATGATCTTTGCTGCCAAACAACTGCAGGAAAAATGCCAGGAACAGAATAGCAGCCTCTACACAACGTTCGATGACCACACAAAAGCTTTTGATACCATCAACAGAACAGGTTAATGGTTGATAATGGAGAAATTTTGGTGTCCACCAAGATTCATCAACATGGTGCGTCAATTTCATGATGGCATGCAGGCCCACGTTCTTTTTGATGGCAACCAATCTGCTCCTTTTGAGGTCACAAATGGTGTCAAGCAAGGCTGTGTTCTTGCACCTACGTTGTTCAGCTTGATGTTCACAGCTATGCTAACAGATGCTTTCTCAGAAAATGATCCAGGCGTTGACATCAGATACCTTACGGATGGGTGAGTCTTCAATCTGCAACGTCTGAGAGCGAAGACCAAGGTGCATATTGAAAGGCTGAGGGACTTTTTGTTTGCAGACGATTGCGCCCTAAATGCATCAACAGAGGCTGACATGCAAACAAGTCTGAACAGGTTTTCGGATGCTTGTGACAACTTTGTATTGACAATAAGCACTAAGAAAACTGAAGTTATGTTCCAACCTGCACCAAACAGCTCTTACACTGAGCCACTGAACATCTCCTGCAAATCTGAGCGCCTCAACCCTGTGGAAAAGTTTACATATCTTGGTTGCACACTATCCAGAAACGTCCACATTGACAATAAAGTAAACTCATGTATAGCTAGAGCAAGCTCTTCCTTTGGTCGCCTAAACAAAGTAGTATTGGGCCAACGAGGCATTACCACAACAACAAAGCTTAGTGAGTACAGGGCTGTTGTACTGACAACTTTACTTTATGCATGTGAGACCAGGAAACTAAACCATTTCCACACAGTTTGTCTCTGTAAAATATTGGGCATCAAATGGCAAGGCAAGATTCCGGACACAGAGGTTCCAAATCAGGCAAATATATACAGTATCGATACCATGCTATGCTCAAGTCAACTACGTTGGGCTGGACATGTTCGTAGAATGGACGACTCACGCATCTCGAAGAAGCTTCTATACGGTGAGTTAGTAAATGGTACATGTTCCAGAGGTGGTCAGAAAAAACGATACAAAGATTCCCCTAAAGTGTCCATTGAAGCTGTTCCATATAGAACCAACAAAATGGGAAAATCTAGCACTTGATGGCAGTGCCTGGTGCTCAAGCATGATTATGGGGGCAAACCAGTACCAGGAAAAGATGAAGAACCTGGCAGAACAGAAACACACAAAGTGTAAAGAGAGATCAGCCTCTGTTGACACTCCACTTGGACCTTCATGCCCAGTTTGTGAAAGGAAGTTCCATGTGAAGATTGGTCTCACCAGCCATCTTAGCAATCACAATCAAACTTAGGAACAGACGAGATTTTATTATTGTCTTCTTCGACAACGAAGGACGAACTATCATGACCCGCCATAATGTCTCCTCTAATCTCCTAATTGGTCATAATTTAAAGAAAGTTCAAAATTTGCATTACCTTTTTGATGTTTTTATCTTGATGATCTATCATAGCTTTGTTGTTCTTGTGAAGAATTTTAACAATTTCTCCTATATCATTATTCCTACATAAAACCTTGATCACCCATTGTGGCCCCAATCTACCCCTGGGGTCATGATTTGAACAAACTTGAATCTACACTACCCATGGATACTTCCACATGAGTTTCATCTTTTCTGGTACAGTGGTTCTTGAGAAGATTTATAAAGATTTTCCCTATGTATTCCTATGTTTAACTTTGATACCCCATTGTGGCCCCACCCCATCCCTTGGGGTCATGACTTAAACAAACTTGAATCTACACCACCTGAGGATGCTTCCACATTTTCATCTTTCCTGTACCAGTGGCTCTTGAGTAGATTTTTAAAAGATGACATTAATTTTTCACTAATTCATAATTATCTCCCCTTGGAAGGGGGCGTGGCCCTTCATTTGAAGAAACTTGAATTCCCTTAACCCAAGGATTATTTGTGGGCAAGTTTGGTTGAAATTGGCCCAGTGGTTCTTGAGAAGATGAAAATTTGAAAAGTTTACGACGACAACGACGATGATGACAACAACGACAACAGACAAATTTTGATCAGAAAAGCTCACTTGAGCCTTTGGCTCAGGTGAGCTAGATGTGAAAAGATTACAGACAGAGGGACAGACAAGTGGATGCTGAATATGGTTGATCAGAAAAGCTTCCTTGAGCTTTCAATCCAGATGACCTAAAAATGTATGGCCTAGGTGTATACGAGGGGTGATCAAAAAGTTCGCGAACTATCTCTATATTTACAAAACCACAATTCAGATCAGAATGAAATTTGACACACATAAAGTCATGCACATGGTTTATAAATAGTATATGTAATGGAACGTTTTTTCCAGTGTTTGTGACGTCACAATGTGAAAATGACGTCATAAGGTAGATCACTTGTGACAAAAAAATGGTTGACTCAGTCGTATTCGAGAAACGAACGGCTGTAAAGTTAAACGAATATCTTGGAAATTCCTTTGTAAAATTTTATAATAATTTGTAAATGGTTTATGAAGACAAAAGACTTGCCAGAAGTTTTGTCGTTAATTGGATTGATTGTTTAATTGAAGGAAGGGAGATGGTTAAAATTGATGTTTGTTCTGTTGCCCAGTGAAAGCAAACTCTGAGAGAGACGTGTCCATTTTTAAGCAGTTTGATATGAAAGATCGTCAACTTACAGTTAGAGACCTTGAAGAATATCTTTACAATAATATTATCATCTAATCCCTAAAATATCGTTTACATTAGACTTTAAACATATCAGATATGATAAAGTGAAGGCACCCATATTTTATCCACATGAAAAAAAAACGACGGTCAAAAGACAGATGACTTGGGTTTTGATGGTCACCATGCTCATTCTGCAAAAGGATATCATTATCCACCCATACTATTGCGGAGATTGGGCCATTTCTGACAAATGGACTGTTTAAATTGGAAAAAATAATCTACATGGTAAGAAATATAAGAGTCGGAAAAAATTTTACGCTTCCGTGACAGAACGCTAAGGAGCATGTCACGTGACCGCCTATATCACGCGATCCGCGCATTGGAAAAATTGTTGCAGATGCGTATTAAAATCAGAGAGGACTACTTTGAAACATTTTCAACACCGAAACCCTGTATCATTTCTTTTTTTAAAAGTTATTCAATTAGTTCGCGAACGTTTTGATCATCCCTAGTATGTGAAAGATTTTTAGCACATACTGAATGAAACAGTTGTCGACTATCTTCAACACATGGCAGCATTTGAACCAGGGTATAATTCCACTAGATTTAAATATATCACTTCACATGCTTTACCTCAATTATGTATAGAATATGACATATTACCTAACTGGTATGAGTAATCACAGAAACATTTGGGTGACAGTTTTGTGTAGTCATTCACACAGCCACCATTAGGACAAGGTGATCCACTACAAAAATCTTTGGTGACCTGGCAATGTCTGTCACTGAAGCCTGACGTACAATCACACGTGTAGCTATCAACTCCATCTCTACATGTACTGTTATACAAACACCCATCTGTATTGACTGCACAATCGTCTGAAAATATAGCAGTGAAGCATATAATTGAAATAGTGGCCATCTCAAAGGGCCCAGCTTTCAGCAATGAACATGAAATTAAATGTAAGGTAGCTAAAGAGTAGGGGTGGATATACCAGAGAAATTATATTGCAATATATTGAATATTTGATGGATATTGCAATATATTGCATTGTTGTCAATTTCACGTAAAGTTTGCACAGTCTAGACGAACTCCCAAAACGGCGTGAACTCCAACGAAGAAGTTTTTGGCTCCGTCATGCTTTGCGGCATAATGGGGTCCAATGTAAACAAACGATGGATTTTCGTTCGTTTTCTCCACAAATACAACCAATTAATGGCCGATTTAGTAAACTGTGACTGGATTTTAATTTTTGTTGAATAAATAATTGCACTTATTAAATTATTTAGTGGTTATTGACTTATTTATCGCTTTTTATTCTTGCATAATAAAGATTTTGGATATACAACATCGGATTCAATACAGTCGGTAAGAATTAGTTATTTAATTTACTGTCTCCTTGATTTAAATTTTTGCCATTCCAACTATAAAGATGCTTAAATTTTACTTCCAAGACACTTAGACTGTATTTATTTTATTAAAAAAACGCACAATTTTCGCGGCGGAACAGAGATACTAACAGGTTCGTTTTGAGAAGACTTTTACCGTATTTTTAAAAGGGTGATTTTTAAAGTTCTCAAATTGATAGATTATAGTTCTAAAAATGTTTTCATGATAATATACTGTCGCCTGCCATAAATGAGTTTGCAAAATGGCCAACTAAGTAATTTTGTATGCAGTAAATCTAAAAAAAAAAAACGTTTTTACAAATTAACTACGACATACCGGTATACGATTTCCGGCATAAAAACTCATATGACTTCATCATTTTTTAAATTGCAAATAAAATTGAATTATTCCCCTTTGCTAAACAATTATGGTCTGCTTAGCAACATGGCGCCTCATGGCGCCTCATGGCAAAGAGTTGATAACACAGCAAAAATAAATAATTCTACATATGTCTAACGAGGGTTATTCAAACTACAAAATACAGGATGTAATAGCTAGGAATATATGCAAGAACAATCCAAAAACTTCTGAAACATGTGCGTGAACGAGGAAGTGTTGAAAATTTGCCACGAAGTGGAAGGAGAAGAAAAACGACGGTGCGCGATGACAGGTGGCTCAAGCAAAATGTGAAAAGAAAAGAAGGCAGGCGCTATAAAGACATTACAGGTAGATTTAATGCAAGAACTGGGTATTGTGTGTCCTTCAGTACTGTAAAAAGACGACTAAATGAAGAAGGGTACAAACGTTGCGTTGTTTCATAGAAAACAACAGCTTCTCAGACGAATCATGAAAAAAGAAGTCAATTTTGCAGGCAAAAACTACACTGGACAGTGCGATCATTTTTAGTGATGAAATGAAGTGTTAGGAAATAACAATAAAGTACATGTTTGGAGAAAAGCAGATGAAAGATTAAGACCAGAGTGCCTTGGTTTGCGTGGTGATAGGGAGACAACATGTCGAGCATCCGTCATGTTCTGAGGCTGTATTTCGTTTCATGGAGTTAGAACATTGAAAGTTGTAGATGGAAACATGAACAGTGAAAAGTATATATGAAGTTTTGGACAAGTGTCTTTGGCCCATGGTTGCTAGGCATTTTACAAATCGCCGCTGGGATTTTCAAGAGGATAACACTCCGTGTCATGTGTCTGCCACATCAAATGAATGGAAGCAGAATAATAATATCGTAACACTTCCCTGGCCCCCACAGAGCCCAGACCTTAACATTATTGAAAATGTATGGAAAGTGTTAAAATTACGTGTGCAGGTAGGAGATTTTAATTTTTTATTGAAAAAAATTACAATCCAAAATTTTACATATCGAAAGATATGCTCTGGACAAGGATTTTTCATATAATTCTGCTATGACTATAACCTTAGACCTAAAAAATGGTTCAAAATCACTTCATACCCTTTACCCAACGGCACTCTGTGAGTGAAGTATGAGCCAGATTGGACCAAGAAGTGAAAAAATATGCTCCGGACAAAAATTTGAACAGAGAGGCTATTTTTGACCTTGACCCTTGACCTAATTTTTTGATTTCATCATGTGATCAATCAAGTGACTCGCTTGATAATTTGCATAAACACCTTAGGCGTTTATGCATAATATTATCACGCAAGCCAATCGATTGATCATCGATCTTCTTGAAATAAAAAAAAGCTTACAATTATTCCTTATATTATTTACATGCTCTTGGTCTTGGAGCTGCTATCCATAATATTGGTGTTTTGTTTTGATTTTTGAATGAAAGTTCATATATAAATAATTGATATTTGGTTGAGATTGGTCAAATCAGAACATAACAGTTCATTACCTAAACCTTAACCTTTTTGATTCTACCCTAAAAGTGTTGGAATTAAGCACAAGAAAATGTTTCCTACCACATCTAAGATCAGAAATAGATCCTTTACTATATGCAGTACTTACTTATATTAACAGAGCAATTCACTCCTGTAAAGCCTGGTTTACAGATACATTGTCTCCTGACAGCGCCCCATGATCGACATTCAGCCCCATTTTTACATGGATCAGGACTACACAGATTCTGCACCAAATCACATCTACAAAATAATACAAGAAACATTGCAAAATGAATCCCATCAGCACTGAGAGAGGGAGGGGAGAGAGTGTCTTTACAATCAACTTATGACATGTACTATATGATAATCACAGGACCACAGTTTCTGGGGAGGTGACTAGTTATTACAGATTAAAGAACTAGACATACTTTTGTGAAACACTGATGCCTCCATATGACAGCTTTTGGTGAAGATTGAATTTTCTCACATGCATGTCAAACTCTAAGGTCAAGGCCAAGAGGTCAACTAGAAATACGTCCATAGGACATGAATGCCCTTCCAAGGGTATATATTTAGTAATGCAACATGAAAAATTGTGTATTTAGTGTATGAAGTGTGTTGAAAATATCTTAAATAGTTTCTTTAAAATTGAAAATGCGATCTCCAAAATTAGATATAGATGATGAATTCTCACCAATTTATGCATAAGTGCATAAGCGTACACAAGATGAGATATGTTTGCAAAACACTTATGCCCCCTCCCAATAAAAATTAGAATTTTTCCCAATATCCAATGGCATAACTCTGTCCCAGATTGCTTGATTGTACCAAAAACATAACTTGACCAAAACATTCATATGATAAATCTGTATACATACTAAATTTTATTTTAGTATGTGCAACCTCTGTGAAAAAAATAAACGGACACTGCAAATAATTGGAATTTTTCAAAGTCCAAGGGGCATAACTCTGTCAAAAATGGTTCAATTGTACTCAAAACTGAGCTTGATCTAGATACTCTTTTGATAAATCTGTATATATCAAATTTTATTTCAATATGTGCAAAAGCTGCAGAGGCAATGAACAGAAACTGAAAATAATTGAAATCATTCTAAGTCCAAAGGCATAACTCTGTTAAAAATGGCTCAACCTTACCCAAAAACAGAACTTGACCTAGATGTTCTTAAGATAAATTTGTATGCCATTTACATGTATTTAAATGTAAAACTTGAATTTCCATATTGCGGCCCCGCCCTTCCCCCGGGGATCATGGTTTGTATAATTTAAAATGTACACTAACCTATGATGCTTCCACATAAGTTTCAGCTTTTCTGGCCCATTAGTTCTTGAGAACAAGATTTTAAAAGATTTTTCCCATATATTTCAATGTAAATCTTGGATTTCCCAATGCGACCCCGCCCTATCCCCAGGGGGTCATGGTTTGTACAATTTAAAATCTTTGATGTTTCCACATAAGTTTCAGCTTTTCTGGCCAAATGGTTCTTGAGAAAAAGAATTTTCCTATATACTTCAATGTAAAACTTGGATTTCCTATCGTGGCCCCGTCCTATCCCCAAGGGTCATGATTTGAACAATTTAGAATCTACACTACCCCATGATGCTGCCACATAAGTTCCAGCGTTTTGGGCCCAGGAGTTCTTGAGAACAAGATTTAAAAAAAAAATTCCTATGTAATTCAATGTTAAACTTGGATTTCCAATTGTGGCCCCGCAAAGCCCTGGTTGGGGCCTAGGAAAGCAAAGCCCCTAGAAGCTCCTGGATTTTATGAAATTTTTCAGTCATTTTCCCGCAAAAGAAATCATGTACGCTACATCTAATTTCTCCAGCATATACGTAGCTAAGTTATTGCATCCATGGACACTTCATGAGGAAGAGAACGACAATTTAATCAAATTATTAGAGTAATTTACAGATATTTTGGTATCTTCTTTTATTTCAAACTTTCAGTAAAGACGTGTAATGAAATATTATTTGCCAAAAAATAAAATAAAACACTTTATTTTATACTCTATTTATAGTCCCTATATAATCTATAAAAGAGCAAACAGTTCATAACACTACATATTCACCGGAGGATCAGTGCACCTGCAACGGCATTGTGACATCACAATCAACATTGTTAACAACATTGTAAACAATTTTTGCAACGACCGAAGCCAGCTGCGTATCTGCATGAGCAAGAAAAATGGAAGACAAACCTATTGCAGGGTTATTTTTTAAACATTTGGACGTCTTACACATAGCAAAACTCGAAAAGGAAAACACAGAGGCTCCACGTCGGTCAATATTGATATTTTTCTGGTGAATAACAAACCATATTAAACACCAAAAGAGTCCATAACTGTATAATATTCAAATCAAATATTAAGATAGCATACTGAAAGCATCAATAATGAAATGGGGGGTGGGGCCTTTTGTTTATTTTTATATTCTGATAGCTTAAACAAGGTGAGAATGCTTAAATAATAATTCTATAAATTGGTATAATCAGTAAAAGAAGATATTCATACATTATCTATATTATTATTTACTTATTTCAGCGTATTTTCAATTTTAACATTGTTTGTTTAATTGAAAATCTTGTGTACTAGTCAAAGACCCTTATAGTAACTTTTCTTTAGATTAGTGTCACTTAGATCACTTTTCTTCATCAAATATATGTCTAGATAATCAGGATTACAAGGATTAAGAGTAGAAAATTTTGGTTCAACATTATTATCTTTCTCCAGAATATTGAAAGATGTTTTTGGAATTGATTTTGTAAAAGACTTTACATTTGATTGTACATGCTGAACAAAATTTGAATCGGATCAATAGAAGATGCAAAATAATTTGAAATACGGATCTTGCTGAATGCTAATTAAAATTTACTTCTCCGGATAAATTTCTTTCTTTCTTTTTTTTTGAAAATAAAGCGTTCACACTTGTGTTCTTGCTTATTAGCAGCTAGGAACCTGAATATTCCCAACACCAAAGGCACTAATATATTACAATTATTCCCACTAGTTCACATAAAGTATTTTACCTAATTACTCTAAATGTCGTCTTTTTTCAATTAAATCTAGATTAGTAAAAGCCATTCACAACTTTAACCAAGCACATTTCAGCAAACAAGGATGCACAACATTTTCTAGATTTCTTACAGATATGTATATCTTCATATAGAATCTCATAATATCATTAACAGTTTGTTGTGGACTTACTTAGGCTGGGAGTACTCCCCAACAATAGGGCACAAACAGACAGGGTCCTTTCCAGCTCTGTCTTGACACATTCCATGTGAACTACACGTGTCTGGTGTACACTCATCTTCTAAGTCTGTCTCACACTGGTTACCACCATACACTATGTATTTATGAATAAATTGAAATACTTAGTTTAAGTAGAATAATTAACTAATTTTTTTGTCTATTTTACTGCAATCAAGCTTCATTACTTCTGTACATGAGCAAATCACTCATAATATCTGAGGCCTCTGATTACTGAAATACTTTTTAATAACTGACACATGTATATATATATATATATATATATATATATATATATATATATATATATATATATATATATATATATATATATATATATATATATATATATATATATATATATATATATATATATATATATATATATATATATATATATATCATTTATTCAAAGCTCTCTGATTGACTCTAATTTGATCACATGATTAAGTATGTATCAGTATATAGACTTGAGTTACTATTTATAGAATCTAATGTGCATATCGACTTGATGTTTCTTAAAAGGGAGATGATTTTATGTAAAACCAAAAAAGTACTGATTTCACAATTAAAGCTAATACAGTGTGTGACATGATGTTTCGGATAATATTGCATTAAATACATGTATTTTTAAAAAAATGTTTTGTTACAGTAAATAGAGAGGTTAAGCAGATGACCGTGTACATCTACGTGTATGTGTAGCTAGGGAAATCCCCTAATTTAATGCGATTTACGTTATCAGTTTTGCATACTGCGTAATTCTACAAGTTGTACACAATGTGTAGATTCGCAAGTACACGTATGTGAGAACTTGTAGCTTCTTAGACTCAAGTATGTGTACATGGTCAAATGCTTAACCCCTCTATTGGTGAGATGTAACAATGCCTTGAATTAGGATCTGGCTGCATTACATTAAAACATATTAGATACAATGTATGTTGGTCAAAAATTGATACAAAACATAATCAAATAAATGTAGTTTTTTAAATAAGTAAATCATCTAAATTACTCCATCACTGGTCTGCAGATGCATCAACTGACAAAGTTTGATGATTCTTCGCCAGTTAGGACTGAAAATATTTCAATATAGCTATAAAATACCATAAGTAAGTCACCGTAGGTGACCTGCTTTTGATTGAATTTTTCTGAGGACTCATGATGCATAATTGACAAAGATTGATGATTCCATGCCAATAAGTACTTCAGATATTCAAAAGTAGGTCACTGTGACCTACTTTTTGGTAGACATTCTCCAAAACCCAAAGGTGCAACAACTGACAAAGTTTGATGATTCAAAGCCAATAAGTACCTGAGATACTTAAATATAGCCATAAAATATCTGAAGTAGGTCACCGTGACCTACTTTTTGGTCATCATTCTCCAAAAACCCAAGATTCAACTGACCAAGTTCGATGATTGGAAAACCCAATATGCATTAGCTGACAAAGTATGATGATTCTATAAGCCAATAAGTACCTGAGATACTTAAATATAGCCATAAAATATCTGAAGTAGGTCACCGTGACCTACTTTTTGGTCATCATTCTCCAAAAACCCAAGATTCAACTGACCAAGTTCGATGATTGGAAAACCCAATATGCATTAGCTGACAAAGTATGATGATTCTATAAGCCAATAAGTACGTAAGATACTAAAATATAACCATAAAATGTCGAAAGTAGGTCAGCATGGCCTATATTTTGGTTGACGTATCCGAAGACCCAAGAAGCATCAACTGACAAAGTTTGAAAATTCTAAGCCACTAAGTACCTGGGTATTCAAAAATAGGTCACGGTGACCTACTTTTTGGTTGACATTCTCAGAAAACCCAAGATCCTCAACTGACGAAGTTTGATGATTCTAAGCTAATAAGTACCTGAGATACTTAAATATAGCCATAAAATGTCAAAAGTAGGTCACCATGTCCTACTTTCTAGTCGTCATTCTTCGGAAATCAAAGAAGCATCAACTGACAAAGTTTGCTGATCCTAAGCCAATAAGTACCTAGGATACTAAAAAATATAAATTTTAAAATTTTTTTAATAAAATTTATAAGATTTAAAATTTATAAAATATTTTTAAAAATATATAAATATAAAGTAATATACATAAATTTGTCAAAAGTAGGTCACCGGGACCTTCATTTTAATTGACATTTTCCACAGACCCAAGATGCATCAACTGACAATTTGAAAACAAATGCCTGCAAAATTACAAAAGTAGGTCAACGTGACGTACTTTTCAATAAATATATTTTGAGTCCCCAAGATGCATTAACTTACAAAATTTGATGTTTCTAAAACTCTCAGGATAATGGGATTAAATATTTTTCAAAAGATTAGCCATCAAACTTAAAAAGTAGGTCAGAATGACCTACTTTTAAGTTTACATTGTTTGAAGACCCAAGATGCATCAACTGACAAAGTTTGATGATCACATGACTTAAAGTGTCCAAAGTATGCCTAAAAATCAATTTGAAAACAAATGCCCGCAAAATTACAAAAGTAGGTCACCGCGACGTACTTTTGATTTAACATGATGTGAAGTCCTAAGCTGCATTAACATACAAGATTTGATGATCCTAATCTTAATAATATGCAAAATATAAACGTTTTTATTAAGTGTAAATTTAGGTCAACTTTGAAGTGACCTTGAGACAATGCCCTTTGCCCCAGGGTAATTCTCCGTGCAAATTTTAATCTTCAACATATCTTGATGTTTGTATGTAAGTTTGCTGAAAATCTGCCTGGTGGTTATGGAGAAGAAGACTTTTTTATGAACCAATACTTTTAATTTTGTTTTCCTGATTATCTCCCCTTGTTTCAGGGTCCAAACCCTAGTTTTACAATAATTGGTAGCCCTTGGGCCAAGGATACCCTGCGACAAATTTGACACTGATTGGCCAAGGGGTTCTTGAGTTATGGCCCATATTCTAAATAGTTTACCACACCGCACAAATGGCCATAGCATTAGCTCTTTGAGCCTTTGGCTCAGAAAAGCTAAAAATTAAAGCCCCACCCTAACACAAGAAGCCCTGACCCAGGGGCAATGAAATTCACAAATCTCAAAGAGGCATCCTTCCTCCTCATAAATATGTACATAGATCATTAGTTTAATACCCAGGTGCAAAAAAAGAAGATTTTAAAAGAATTTATGCATTTTCACTATATAATCAATAGAGCCACGCCCTAACACCAGAACCCCCAACCCAAAGGCCATGAAATTCATAATTTATTAGGAAGAAGCAGCCTTATTCAACATACATGTAACTATGTACTTGGCTAGTTTATTTAATACTCATGAGCAGAGAAGAAGATTTTCAAAGAAATAATTCATTTTCACTATATAATCTTTAAAGCCCAGCCCTGCAACTAGAACCCCTGACCCTGGGGCCGTGAAATTCATAATTTTGGAAGAGGTTACCTTATTCAACATAACTATACACTTGGTTAGTATATTTAATTCCCACGAATAGAGGAGAATTTCAAAGAATTTGTGCATTTTCACTATATAATCTTTATACCGCAGCCCTGCCACTAGAACCCCTCCTGACCCGGGGGGCATAAAATTCACAATTCTGGAAGAGGCAGCCTTATTCAACATAACCATGCACTTGGTTAGTTTATTTAATGCCCATGAACAGAGAAGAAGAATTTCAAAGAATTTATGCATTCTCACTATAATATAATCTAGCTAGCCCAACCTTAAGCACTACAACCCCTGACCCTGGGGCCATGAAATTTACAATTTTGAAAGAAGCGGTCATTTTCAACTTAATTAAGCACTTGGTTAGTTTATTTTATGCCCAGAAGCAGAAAAGGAGAATTTCAAAGAAATTATGCATTCTCACTATAATATAATCTATATAGCCCCACCTTAAGCACTACAACCCCTGACCCTGGGGCCATGAAATTCACAATCTTGGAAGAAGCAGTCATTTTCAACTTAACTTTGTACTTTTTTAGTTTATTTTATGCCCAGGAGCAGAAAAGAAGAATTTCAAACAATTAATGCACTTTCACTATATAAATTATTTAGCCCCACCCTAGTACTAGAACCCCTGACCCTGGGGCTATGAATTTCAAAATTTTGGTAGAGGACTCAATGTTGATTCTAATCATACCAACAGTTTGACTGCTTGATGTCCAGGAGTAAAGAAGAAGATTTTTAAAGATTGCATTAATTGTAGTGGTTTAGGCCCCACCCCCAGCCCCCAGGGGAGGCAGGCACCATGAAATTCACAATTTGTGTTCCCCTTCACCCATAGATGCTACATTCCAAAATTGGTGGAAATTGGTTCAGTGGTTTCAGACATGAAGCTGAAAATGTTCAAATGTTAAAGCGCGATGAACCAAGCACAACGAATTCAGCACGATGATGGATGAAAACAGATAGCAATAGGTCACCTGAGTTTACTCAGGTGACCTAAAAATATTTTCCGATATATTTCAATGTAAAACTTGGATTCCCTATTGTGGGCCTGCCCTACCCCCAGGGGTCCCTATTTGAAGAGATTAGAATTTGCACAACCCCAGGATGCTTTCACATAAGTTTTACCTTTTCTGGACCAGTAATTCTTGAGAAGAAGATTTTTCTTATATATTTCAATTAAAAATTTGGATTCCCTATTGTGGCCCCGCCCCACCCCCGGGGGTCATGATTTGAAGAACTTAGAATCTACCCTACCTCAGTATGATTCCATATAAGTTTAAGCTTTTCTGGTCCAGTGGTTCTTTAGAAGATTCTTTAATTACCCTACCTTTTTTGTCTTTTCTTGATTATCTCCCCTTGTTTGGGGACTTGGCCCTTTATTCATATAAAGAGCATGAAGAAAATGGCCCTGTACTTATATCAATTAATAAACTATCACCCTCTTTCCCATTTCATATATTAAAATGAAGTAGACACTTGGTGCTTTCATTTTCTATAACAAAATTTCGTTTTGAGAATCCGCACATTGGAAAGCAGGCTTTGAGAAATTGCAATGTTCTTGAACTTTGCAGAAAATACGGTTATTTGACTACCTTCAGCAAAGAATTAAAATATGAGCACACCCCACGATCCAAAAAATAAAACATGTTTTTTGATCTTCAGAAACAGAGCTTTCATGATGTATGTGCATATTTTGGATCAAAGGTTGTGCTCTATATGAAATATTGAAAAAATGCTTCAACTTTAGGTCATTTTCAAAGGAATTTACAGGATACGAGGAAAATGACGCATTTTATGACGTCGTAATGCATTGACTAGATGTAAAATTACGTCACAATTAATAGATACGTGGTCACCAACACTCCAAGTGATAGATACTGCATTTGCAACCTAAACTGAGCAGTTCTGATTTTGCAGAAATTCTCAGGGCCAAATAAGGCCGAACGTGGCTCTTGCTCTTTAACTCCCTTTTCCCCAAGGATACTTTGTACCAAGTTTGGTTAAAATTTGTCTGATGATTCTTGAGAAAAAGTTGAAAATGTGAAAAGTTTTCAGACGGACAAAATGATCAGAAAAGCTAATTTGAGCCTTCGGCTCAGGTGAGCTACAAAGACTTGTACAAAATCCAAATAATTTTTGCAAAAAATTAAAGTTTAATATTTCCCTATTTATTTCAACAGCGGAAATAGTCTAATGGTTAAAGTGGTCGCCCTTCAGTCCAAGGGTTGTGGGTGTGAAACCTCTTAGGAATATTGCTTTTAAAAAAAAAATATTTATTTTCTTTCTTTTATATTATTTTTGATAAATTAACTAATGTTTGAACTAGATATCTATGATTTCTGAGAATAAATAATTATAAATAATTTTTACCAATAAATTTAACCTTATTGACTGCGTAACTGTGACTTAATGGTTGCTTAATGGAGTCTGAACACTATAACACCTACAAGTCAGTGTGGCTTAATGGTGACTTATTGAATGTCTAGAAGCTACTATTAGGCACCTTTTAGCTACCACTAAGCCACCATTAGCTACATTTAAGCAACCATTAATGACTTAGAGATGGCTTAATTGAAACCTGGTGGCATATTTATTACCTAGAAGTAGCTTAAAGGCACTGAATAGTGTTTTAAAAACAACCATTAAGTCGTCTTTAAGGACCTATAAGCTACCATTAATCCAAGCTTAAAGGATGTGTTTCATGTTGTGGTGCTCAGTATTACTGAAATCAGACCAGAATTGTAAGAGGCATTTTAAAAAAATTCTCAGAAATTTCCATTTTTTAAGAAATCATGGCAACACTGTTCACAAAGTAATATTGAAATCGAACAAAACTAAATGAGTAGCATTTTGAAAAATTGTTTAGAGACGGAAGGATGACATACACCTTAGTATCGCATAAGATCTTCTGATCTCTGACCCACAGAGTTTAAAACTGTATGTCACTTACAATATTCATAAAGACAGGACTTGAAGAAGTACTGAGAGGTACTGCCATAAGGTAGGGTAGGAGCATCTTGTTTAACAATGAAGCAGTTATTTTTGGTATGATACATGGCTTTGCATTGTACATCTTCAAGACATTTTTCTTTACATGAATCCAGAGACATTTCTCCATGATATTCGCTTTTATCATCATCAACAACAAGATTTCCAGGTATATTCTGCATGGTGCAATTTGCATCTACAAAACAAATAAAACAGCATTCATCATAAAGTTAAACAGATGTGTTTGTGAAAGACTATGTCCCTATATGGTAGCTAATGATGAGGTTTGAAGTTTCTAAGATGCAAGTCGAACTCCAAATGTCAAGGTCAAAACTGTTAGTATCCAAAGGAGGCCTTGTCACACAGAATACACCTGTGAAATATGAAAGACCAAGTGCTAACTGTTCAAAAGTTATGGCCAAGGTTAAAGTTTTTTTTTTAAAAAGTGGTTTAAACTCTAAGGTCAAGGTCCAAAGGTCGAAAATATCTATACCTACTGAAGCAAGAGTATTTGTATTTAAAAATCATGAATCTACACTACCTAAGGATGCTTCCATATAAATATGACTGATCATGGCTTTGTTGTGTTTGTAAGATTTTTTAGGATTGTTCCTCTATATTCCTATGTAAAACTTTGATTTTCTATTGTGGGCCCCAACCTCCCTCAAGGGGTCATGATTTGAACAAACTTGAATCCATCTGAAGATGCTTCCATATAAATATGACTAATCATGTCTTTGCTGTTCTTGCGATGATGTTCTTTTCAAATTAAAAGACTTTTTATATATACAGTTAAACTCATTTTGTAAGAACACAGTTATTGCGAAATCATGGATAGAGCGAAGTAATATTGGATCCCCAGCTTTATAAATTCAACGAATTCCTTATACGAATATAATGAATTCGGATATAGCGAAGTAATTTCTTTGGTCCATCGATTTCGTTATAATGGAGTTTTACTATAATTCTATGTAAAAACTTTGATCATCCCTTGTGGCCCTGCCCTATCCCCAGAGGTCATAATTTGAACAAATTTGAATCAACACTTCTACCTGAGAATGCTTTCCTATGAATATGACCAATCATGGCTTTGCTGTTCTTGAACAGAATTTTAAAGATTTTATCTATACATGTATATTTGATATCCATTGTGGCTCTACCCTACCCCAGGGAGTCATGATTTGAACAAAGAATCAGAGGCCGTAAGCATATATGAGCTGCCCAATATTTTTAAAACATTTTTATACCAGTGCTATCGTTAAGATGGTTTATTTTTCATATAACGAGATGTCCAGTTTGATGTATATAGCAATAAAATTTTCAACATTTGATTTGTAGTTGAGTTATCACTATGTGAAGTTGTGTGATTTTTCCGGAATTGAGAAATGTCCATCAAATATTCCAAACAAGATTTAGATATGGTCGCACGAAAACAACACAGTAAAAATTTAATAGATTGTTTAAAATGGCACAATAAATTATTTCCAATAATATCATTCTGTTGTTTGCATGCGGCCACCATGAAAAATATATAAAACGATGTTTTTCGAGGCGCGATTTTGATCGCTTCCGGTTTCGGTTTTTATATTCAAATGACAGCAGACAGCAGCAGACGTAAACAAAGTTGGATGTCTGACTCAGTCAAAAACAGACAATGTCACGAATGTGACAGTAGATTTATCTAACCATTTAGCAGGTAGGGATGAATTGAAAATCAGAGTAATTTTCATTTTGCATGCACTATTTATATGCATTGCTCAAAATTAAATCCCCTCCCAAACATATTATTGACATGACAGACTCTGTAACCATGTCAAACAGTTGTATCTATAGTGTATCTTGAATATATTAACAAACAGGATCACAACATGCTATCTTCTTTAAAAGAAAAATATAGATTATAAAAAGTTGACTTAATCATCGATTCTCTTTGATTTAGGGCCTAATGTTCATGATTCATTAACCCTCGATCGGCCGGTTGATCTGCGTGATTAGCCGCGTTTTATCAGTTGTGAAAATCTTTACATATTCGGAAAATATACATGTATAAGTGCATATATTATGTATAGCATCCGTGTAACTTGCCATTTTGTCATCAAAATTATATTCTGGTTAAATGTACACACAAGCTGTAGGGTCATGTAGTATGCCGGGATCTTGTCTGATCGAGTGGTGGTCAGCTGAAATGATTCTTAGGTAATCGGGCAAGAAAGTTTTTATATAGGCCTATCACTTTTAATCGATTTGGCATTAAAATATAAATATACTACCTTTCTATGTTGGTGTTTAAAATGCCAACATATTTCTCTGTCTGAGTACAAATAACAACCGAGTCTAGAGTGCTTGTATATTCAATAATTCAAGGGACCTTACTCTGTGCAAATGTATTTTGTGCTATAACAGTCAAAAATATATATTAAAAAAATGGTACGAGGGTTTTTTTGTTTGTTTGTTTGGTTGGTTGGTTTTCTTTTTTCTTTTTTTTTTTTTTGGTAAAACGAAATAAAAAAGTTAGTTTCTTTAAAATTAGCTAACATCACTAAATCTAATTAATGTTCTTTGCAGAATAAATAATATAAATTCTTTCTATTTTCTTGTGGGGACAATGTATTTTTTTTAAACCAATTAGATCTAATAAAAATATTATTAATGTAAAATTAACTTTTCGTAAGTAATAAAAAAATTATTAGATTACCTTCGAATATTATAAATTAATTTAAATCACAATTTAAATTAAAAAAAAATGTTTGTCATTACATGATTAATCTAGCTTTTTTGTTTTAATTTAGATTACCCAATATTATGTCTCTGATTTTTATTCATTAAACTCAAATAGGTAAATCAATAATACTGCTATTTAAATTGATTTCATGAATGAAATAATTATATATTATACCTGGTTACATTAACCTTTATCTATTAGTTAAATATTGGTTACACTGTACAAGCATCCATGCATTATACATTAATATGTGAATATATAGATTAGTTATCGCTTTATAAGTTTTATTTGTAATATTGGTATTTATTTCTTACTAAAATCTTAATTACATTGATAATGATAATTTTCAAATTACTCAAAAAATATTTTTTTCCAAATCACATGCTTGTTTCTTTCTTTTATTTCCTTCTTTCATATATAAAGAAAATCTTATGCAAATGTATATACTATATGTATTGTACAAGTAAACCCCTCTCCTTCCATAATTAAAGACAAAATGTGCATACATAATATATATAGTAATTTAATTTTGATATTTATATTTTAATTGTAGAATGCCTGGAGATGGTCCAAAACAATATCCTTGTATATCTTGTGGGAAAAGAACCAAAGCTGATCAAAGACGTTTCATAAAGCCTGGATCTTCTGAATCGTACAAACTATACCTTCAACATTTGGGACTTTCCGTTAATTGTAAAAACTATGTATATGTTACATGCCTGAACTGTTATACGAAATTCTACGAGTCCATAAAGAAAACTTCAAAAGAAACAGAGCAAGATTATGAACCACCGGCAAAGTCTCTGAAATCAGATGCCAAAAGTCCGAACATTATTCCATTGTGCATAGTTTCATCAGGAAAAAGTCACTCATCCTGTGTCATATGTTAGAAGAGGACATCGAGGCTCCTCACCCTGTCTGCAGAGAGACGGCATCATATATTCATTTTATCAGGACACCTTCTGCTGTCGGGTGCACGGTGCTGCCGATCCCACTTAGCACCAGACTTTTCTCTGAAAGATGATGCTATCAGATGTCTGGAGAACCCATCTTCTGGCTCCAGGTCGGTACATGACACCACCTACTTCAACAAAACAGACATTTTTTCTTTGATTTCGACAATAAGAGCAGCAGCAATTAGAAATAAGAAAAACAGATTCGACTTTGACAGCAGCGATGGCCTCTCTGACGCAGATTATGTGAATTTAACAGGAATTTCCAGAGCAAATATGTGGGATTTGACCATATCTGAAGGGAAGAGATTATCCAGGATCACACAACGCCACTTGCTAAGGAACTGTTTGGCAGTGATCTACACAATCCAGCTACTTTAGTCGTGGATGGAACCTACATTTTTTTCCAAAAAAGTAGCAACTTCAGGTTCCAGCGCAGGTCATACAGCCAGCACAAAAACCGACCTCTAGTCAAGCCGATGGTTATAGTGTCTACGACCGGCTACATAATATCAGTCCTCGGACCATATTTTGCAGACCAGAAAAACAACGATGCGAGCATTCTGAAACACAACATTCAGTCCAACATGGAGAACTTCAAAGATTGGCTGCATCAGGAGGATGTCCTCGTAGTTGACCGTGGCTTCAGAGATTCAATCAGTTTCCTTGACAGCTTGGGAATCAGATGCCTGCATTCCTTCCAAAGGGCCAGAAACAACACACAACAGATGAGGTATAAAAATGCACACACACATAATACTTCAATTTAAAACTCTTTTTTAATCAAAATTAAAAGAAAAAAGAAGCTTATAATAATTTATTTATATTTCAATCTTATACACTGTTATAGTGTATTAATAATAAAAGTCAGTAATATGACATGCTCACAATGTAAATACTTAATTAAGAGTAATTACATTTTTTGTACCCCAGTTTACAATGTATATTTATTTTTTAATGTTTTGCAGGCGAATACTTCGAGACTGGTCACCAAAATCCGTTGGATTGTTGAGTCGGTGAATGGACGACTGAAAAAGTGGAAGTTTTTGCAAAATGTTGTCCCGAATACCCAGATACCCTTCATCAGGGATTATGTGTGCTTGGTTGCAGCTCTCTGTAATAAGTACAGACAACCTTTAAATGCTGGAAACCCAGAAAATGATGTGATTTTAGCCGCTAAAATGAAGGTAAGGACATGCCAGTATTTGTTTCATTCCTTTTTTATGAATTTATTAATAGATACAAATTGTAATTATTAATTTAAAATCTCTATTAAATTATAAGAAATATTGTGTCAAGTATTTTTTATTATATTCATTTTAACTTTCCATTATTTTACTCTGTGGAAAAATTCATTGTTCATGTATTTTTATGTTCATATGTTTTAGCTATGCCAGTATAAACTACTGTACATAAGTTTTATATTGAATTTTTCATTACACTCATGTCCAAAGTTCAAAAACTCTTTTTTTGTTTATTAAGTTATGCATGTATTAATAGTCATATGTGATAAAATTGGAA